GGGACAGGCTTCCGGGGTTCATACCCTTCGTCGACGGACTCCTTGTAGGCCACGGGGGGCGCATTCTCGTCTAGGTTTCTGTACATGCAGCCCAGGGCCATGACGGCGTAAAGGAGGCCCAGGAACTTGTGTTCTTCCTTGGTGTAGTCGTCGTATGGCTTCTCGTAGATTCGGTCAAACATTTGGTAAAAGGTCGGTACGTGGACGATGCGGATCAGACACGTCGCGCAGTTGAGCGACAGGTAGCAGAGGCTCTTGGCCACGTCTTTCGGGGGGAGCTCCGGAGCGGTGGACATTGTCGAGTCGAACGGGGAGCTGGCTGCGGATGCTGGCGAGTCCAGGTTGATGAGGCCCGCGGGTCTGTCTGGCCGTGGGAGGAAGGGCACCTTTGTGACGGGGCCCATCATGCCTCGAAAGTGCTCCTTCATGCGTCGCAAGAAGACGGCACCGGACGAGACGCCGTGAAAGTCCCAGCCGCCCTTGTCGTCGAGGTCCAGCTGGCCAATGGACTCGATCATGGACAGAAGCTGGGGATCCTCCTTCTCGGGAGCTACAAAGGGGTCGTGCCTGAGCTTGGCACTCTGGATCCTGCTGTGCTCTCTGTTGCGGAACTCTTGCTGGACGGCCGGATCCAGCGTCGGATCAGCCAAGTCGACGTCTGGAATAAACTTGCGCAAAAGAGTCTCTGCGCGCTGCAGGCGGCTCTCCAACGCCTCAATGTACTGGGGCGCAGGGTTCCTCCGCCGATTGGAGGGCTTGTCATAAGTACATTCTGCGGAAATTAGTCTTTTGCACCGAGACAACAGCATCGAGGAAGGAGGCTCACCGTAGCTATAGACTGAGCAATGGGTGCAAGGCTGCTTGCCATCGCACTTGATTTTCTTGCGCCTGCACTCGTCGCACGCTCTGGTGACACGGCGACGCTTCTGCACAGGGGCGTTGGATCCAGCTTCGCCGGGCTTTTCGTCCATGTCTGAGCCAGAATGGGCACTTCCACTTGGAGAAGGCGGCTCCTTGACTGGCCAGCCATTGGCAGAAGGGGCTGCGGACTCGTTGTCTGACATGTTGCCAGAAGCGTGGGAGTCTGGAGGTGAGTTGTTGCTGTTGTTGTTGGTTGCGGCCTTGGCAGGCTGAGATGGAGGGCTCATTTTGGCAGTCGACAAAACAGGTCGCCCGTTGGAGCTGTCCTGGGGTAAGCTTCAGGAAGCTGACAATAGTTGCTGTAAGGTAGATGTTGGTGTTGGTTGTGGTTGTGGTGGTGGTGAGCACCCGGTTCTCGGTGTAAGTGCAGTTATGGAGGACGAGCTCTTTGCATATTTGATAGTACAAGGGTCGTGGTCCGATAAGCCAACCCAATCGCTAGGAACGGCTTTCGGACTGATCAAGTCTTGAACATGAGAAGAACGAAACGTGTGCCAAGACTTCGCGGGGGATGGAAGGAAGATAAGTTTAAACAAAAACGGGAAGACCAGAGAGGAGCCGGGGGATCTTTTGCCTCTTTGCTGGGCTCGTCTGGGCAGGCCGCAGCTGGGGGGGTGGAAGGGCCCTTGTTTAAGGCCGAGCAGGGTGCGGTACGAAGCAGCGGTGCAGCAGCGGTGCAGGGCCGCAGACAGAAAGAGGAAGAAGGTGTGTGAGAGGCCAGGGCAGGTGTGTAAGTCGCGCGGAAAGCTGAGCGCGAGGAATAGGATGGATTACGTAGCGGGTAGGTAGCGTCTCGGCCGGGGTTGGTTGAGACAGCAGAGTACACGACTCGAGGGTATGGAGAATATGGTCCCGCACGGTGTAAGGTAGTCCCGCAGTCCCAAGTCCCAGTAGCGCGGTCGAAAGATACGTATTCCACACACGGGGCAGGACGCAGGACGTGGACCACGATCTGGCGGGCAGGCGGGTAGGCCCCTGGTTGTGACGATGGTGCTGGATGGGTGGTGGATGGTTGATGGTGCTTCTTCTTCTTCATGGTAGAGGAGGGGGTGTCTCTAGGTCACCCAAGTGAAGTCGCGGATAGGGTCAACAAGAGAGGGAACGGAGACAATACGAAACCGTCGCAAAGGGGGATGGGGAAGCTAAGACGAAAAGGCGATAGGAATCGGTACGAGGATGAGGTGGTGGTGGTGGAGGCCGAGGGGGAAGAGGAGGGGGAAAGGAAGACTCAAGAGAGAGAGGCATGTACACTATCCGTGGGAAGTACTCCGTACATGGACGATGAACAGGGGCGATCATAAGGCAAACCAAGTAGGCAGGCCAATAAGCCAAGATGGATTAAGGTAAGGCGAGCAGAACAACAAGAGAGAGAGAGAGAGAGAGAGAGAGAGAGAGCAGCACAACTGCAGCAGTAGCAACAACACAAAGTTCGCAACAGCATGGCTTGGGATGGCTTGGTAGCCTTGGGGGGTGGGCGGAAGCATCAGAGGGACAAGACTTGGAGAGACTGAGAACTGCACCAAGAAAGGGCCCGCCGACGGGGGACCGGGAGGGGGGGGGGCGTATTGGCAGGGGAGATGGATCATGGAAGGTACAGTATGATGGCAGAAGATGGACGGCAGTCATTCTTGGGTCTACCATCTGTGACAGGCAGTGAGAGTTGCTGTAATGGGTAGAGCAACTCCGCGGAAGGTACCTTCTACTGAATGGAATCCATTGCCTATCTACCCACCTTAGTACGCAATTAGGATATGAGTAGTTGACTACGGATACCTTGGACGACAGAGCGTGTAAGAGGTGCTGTGGTTGCTCTTCGTCCGCATGTACCTTTCCGCTGGGAGGAGTGGGAGGAACGAGGATGCTGCAGCAAATGTGCGGAAAGCCAAGACGAAACAAAAACGGACGAAGAAGAGCTCAGGGTTGTGAGATTGGCGGCTGCCTTGCCTGCATGCGACAGCGACAGCGACATTTTGACTTTGGCCTCTTCAGGAGGGCATCCTGTCCTGATAGGTAGCACTTGCTCATTCAATGGGCAGTCGAGGCAGTGAAAATCAATGGTCTGAACAACTGGGCAGTAACTAACTCCCAGTCTCGATTCTCGGCTCTCGCTTCTGTCGGGATTGGTGGTGACTTGAGCGCCGCGTTCCAAGGGCCAGGCTTGTTCCCGTGTTAAAAGCGCCCGTTCTAGTGGACAGCCCAATGACGAGATCCGAGTTCGCTGGGGCTTCTATCTTAAGCAACTCGGGCTAGGCAATCTTGAGTTAAAAGACGCCGGGCCACTAGTATGTGGTATCCGGTGCGTGCCATCTGTAATCAGAATGGGAAGGGTTCTTTTGCAAGAGACTCCGAACGGGACTAGGTGCTGGGCTTCTGATTGTGTTGTGAATAGAGGGTTGCGGTGGGCAAAGCATGTCATTGATGATGGCGACATATCTCTGAGGATATTCTATGGTCTGTACGGATACCGCGCGCGAAGACCACTATGTGAGCACCGAGCTCGCGCAACTGTCTCCAGTCGGCGAGTAATCAGAATATGTGCGGTAGATAGGAACAGAGTGATAGTACTGCGTGTACGGGGCGAGCGAGCGAGTCGAGTCCCTACCCGGCCCCGGTTGATTTGCTCAAAAAAGGAATTGAAAAGGGAACAGGGCGGAGTTCCTTCGGGAAAGGAATGCAGCCCAGTTTTTTTGCTCAAATGGAGATGCGTCTGGAACCGATGAGAGGGACGTGAGAATGGGCCAGTTTCCACTTGGTCGAACCGATGGTGCTACTGCATAGAATCTATATGTCAGTCAGTTGCAACTCGCAAGGCCATGCATGCTTTGCGTAGTTGGTGTTGGAGTCTTGGTATGTTGAAGAGGGGGGATGGAATACTTCGCAGAGAGAGAAGGTAAAAAAAAAAAAAAAAAACCTATGCGGCGCCAGCGGCGTTCGTGCATGCGTTTGGATGCAGGGTGGAACCGGGGGTACGTATGCCTTTTTACCCTTTGTGTATTTTCGTTGTCTTCAAAATCTTGCCCAAGACCAACCGTTGGCTTGGATTTCCGTGCCATTCGGTCCCGTACCGCAATTGCAGACCGCCACGGAATGAATCATCCCGCCCGGCCTCGTCCGGTAGATCCATCGCTTCCAGCCTCCAAGTCTGACGGTCCACCACCTGCCGCCGGTACGTGGCCGTCGTGCCCGTTCGTGCCCGTTGTGACCACAGCGTAGGCCAAGTCTTCGTAGCTGCTTGAAGACGTGGAGGTTTCAATAGACAAGGGCGCTTTGTCTTGCCTTGCCAGTCAATACTCGGTAGACCACTTCAATTGCCTGTCTTCTTCCCCCCCCCCCCCCTCCCACGAGGGTCAGTAGCTGGAACGGGGGTGAAATTAAAGTCAGGCTCTCATCTCAGTCAACGCTGACTTATTGAACTCACACGCCAGGCCCGGGTTCTCAGTTGACGGAACACGCGGGATGCTATTGGTTCGGAGGCGCTTCCCAGGAGACCCCAGTTTGAGCTTCGACGGGGAGGACCCCCCTTATGCACTGCGGACATAGCTGCATCTAGTCCAGTCCAATGATCAATCCAGCGCGCAAAGGGAAGGGAAAAAAGAAGCTTGAGAGCCCGAGTTGTCAACAACCGCCAACCCCTACACCTGGGAGTTTGTCAGTGCTAAGGCTCATCGAAACAGTCGGTCCCGCGAGTTGGCGGAGGACGCTTCCAAGCAGGCGCTGGCACGCAGGTTCGGTTTCCAACATGTCGGGGCAAAGCCTGCTGGCTCAAACCGTCCGTGGATCTGCTAACGAGCCCGCCGCCCCGTCACCCGCGAGCCTTTCAGCCTTTAGTCCATCCCATACCATCGCATGAGAATGGCGGCGGTAGGTATGGTTACGGAGCTCAGTCATTTTGGGCAAGTGGTCCAGTCATGTCCTCTGATGGTTCGACGACAGTATCAATCTGCGATTGCCTTTTCATCTGCGACTAGTGCCCCTCCCTCGGTCCCCACTCGTAACCCGAACAGCACGCCGCAATCTTCCCGAGGTCGGGATCGAGGGTCCAATGCCTCGTTTGTGTCTGCATCGCGGTGGTGGAGACATCAGAGCGATTCCGCGATGTGTGTGTGTGTGTGTGTGTGTGTGTGTGTGTGTGTGTACGACACAACGTAGGCCACCGCCGTCGAGGCGTGTAATGTGCAAGCGAAGCAGGGGGCGGCAGAAAGAAAGCGAGCACGTTGCTGGGACTCTTGAGCGTTGGAGGGGCTTGCCAAGGGCCAAGAGGAGACGACGACGACAACAACAACGATGGCGGCGAAGGCGAGTAAACGGTCTTGACCGACGGCTCTTTGGACGAGTGTCATGAAGCAACTGGTCTGGTTTGTGTTTGTGTGGGCACATGGCTCACGCCCCTCTTGGAACACCGAGGGTTTATCGCCAGCGATTTTTGGGGGTTGATTCCCCTCCCCCCTCCCCTTGCTCTCCCTGGCGCCCCCGGAGACTCTTGGCTTTTCTTGCGGGAGCTCCGTACTTTGCACGCCTTGTACTTGGTGGCATCGCGAGATTCATTCCAGCTTGAGGCCCCCCCCCCTCTCCCCATAAGGCCGAAGTGACTGCAGACCGGTGGGATGGAAAACGCATGGAATATTCGAAAAGGGCTTCGTTTGTGGATTGCCGTCACATGGCGGACGGGACGTCGTCGAAATGGACCGCCCTACAGAGGAACAGGGCCCAGGGCTGAGGGAACGATGAGGTTCTGAAGTCTTGGCATCCGTCATTGGGGACGTGTCTGTGGTGTATTTTGACGACAAATTTTCTCTTTTGGCGGGTTAGGTGCTCTCAGATTGGCGTGGACTTTGGTCCATGGTGGGAGACCAGCAGAGTCCCTGGGGTGTGCTTGGACTGGGGGTGGGTGGTGAATGGTGAGTGGTGTGGAGGAGAGAGAGGAACCACCTCACGGTTCCACACCTCGACACCGCTGGGCTGACCGGGCTGGAAGGGAGGTGGTCCGCGGGTGAGGTGCGGCGGTGGAAGGTGCTCAGTGTGCCCAGCTCGAAGACTCAAAAAAAAAAAAAGAAAAAAGAAAAAAAAAAAAAAAAGGTCGCCCACTCCCACTCCCACCAAAACGCGTCAGCCCAAGAGCGGGGGGCAGTAGGTACGGAGTACAGACGGTACAGACGGCGCATGGAAGGGGCGGCACATCAGGGAATCGGGACAGCAGGCAAGAGCTTCCTGGGTCTCAAAAGTCTTGGCACGTTCGATTTCCTTCGTTTGCCAAGACTTCCACCCCGCCCCTTCGCGCTGGCGCTTGTCTTGACAACATGCATCGAATATCAGAGAGCCTCTTATGGATATCAAACAGATCTAGATATTGCCAATTGCCAGCGTTTTTCTCGCGGTTTTTTTGCTTGCAAAACTGGCCCAGGACGCCCTCGGTCGGTCGCCGACTCACCATAAGCAGACACCGCAGCCACCTGGTTGGGTCCCCCCCTTTTTTTTCCTCTCTCGCTCTCTCTTTTGCAATCCAATAGAACTTACAAACACACGCCCCCAGGAGTGAACGGATTGGCATTGGCCTGACAAAAATCAAGGAAACGGGCCACGTTACCTTAGGTTTCTTTCCCCTCGCGCGCGCGCCCTCTTGCGGTTCGCCCGTCCTCGTTATTTCCGCAAGATTTCGTGCAAGAAAGAGAGAGAGAGGAAAGACCATTCAATGCATGTGCTGGCCACTAGGAGACAAGAAGTCGAGATTAATATGGGGCGCACTGTACAGACAAGTCACAGTGCGAGCGAGGAACAAGAGGGAAGGCACACCCACACACAACACCTTCCTACCTTACCTCGCCTCAGTCAACAACACATCCCCGGCCACTTCCCAGGACGAGACAAGATGGGGAAGAAGGTGGCAGCCGGTGCAAACCACCTCACCTACACTTTCCCAGTCGGGTGTCGCCAAAAGTCGCCAAGGTACGTATCTTCACCTGCACTTCACCTCACCTTACCTCACCTCATCTCATCCCATATGGTAATAAGGTACGAATACCTTGCGAATAGAATGGTGGGAAACTTACCTACTAAGTGCCAACAGACACAGACACAGACTTAGGTAGACACAGACCATGGGCAGCCGCCCCGTCCTCGTCCCAATGTATGGCTAGCACCAATGTGCCAGAGAAAGCCACTCATCTTTGGGGTCCGACCCGTCTGCTTCATTGTCACCAGCTCATATCCTTTACCTGTCTCGTGTCTGATGTATCGGAATCGTCATCTCAGTCAGTCCAGGCTAAAAGCTATCGAGACTTTGTACGGATAGGTACACACATCAGAGTACCTGCGCAGGGGCCACCCGACCCGACCGCAACGCTGCGAATACCTATCTACATCTTCTCGGTGCTCACAAGTTACAACTCGGCCCACCAAAGAGTGACACGATAATAGCAACAGCGCCCACTTCTTGGGAGCCAGGCGACCGGCTTGCGGCTTGCAAGCTGCACAGTCATGGAGTGTCTCGAGCAGGCGTTCCTGGCACAGACGCGGGCAATCCAACGTCCACCAAATCGTCCAATGTCGCTGGGCCTCGTTATGGATACCCTCATGACTCTCGACTCACATGGCACTTTTGCTCTGACACTTTCAACCTAACCTTTTCTCTCTCTCTTTCTTCTGCTCGCTATTCTTCGCAATCGTCCCGCCATGGTATCCGTCGAGCTCATAATCCATAACCTGACAGGCCCAGGGCCGAGCGCTCAAGGACGCGATCCCACACTCAATCCTATTCCTCCAGGACCCTGACCTTGCTCCGGCCCTACTAATCCCAGCTTGAACCTTGGGCCCGAACCTGGCCATTGCACCCCATCTTTTATTCCCTCTCAGTTATACGGTAGAAACAGAGAGTCCAGAATTGCCCCGACGGCATAGCCTTTGCACGCCAGACATTTTTGTCAAATCAGGGCTGTCGCCTATACAATCATACACTGGAAACTCGAGCTGAATCTGAGACTGCCATGCAGGGATCATTTGCAATTTGAGGCCCGTCAACGCAGGCCAGTCAAGATCAAGCCCATCTCTTGAGCGGAAACCAAGCTTGGATGACTCGAGGTCAACGGCATCGATTTCGAGCACCAGCGACTACAGAACCTGCCCACGTAAGATGGGCTGGCCAAGGAGCCACGGATCGTGTAGAACCACAGCCTGCAGCGCATCGCCTACAGCAAGCCCGCCGCAAGCACAACACACCTCAACGTCCCAAGTTTCCCGTCCCCTCTAGGAACAGACCCTCGGCCAACTACCGACCCCTGTATCTGGCACTGTGGGTACGTACCGGCGTTGGCCTTACCGAGCACACCTCCCACCTTAGCTCGCGGCTCAGGTGTGATGTGGTAGCTGTCCTCCTGTGGTATGCGGCGTATGCCTTGCTTGCAGCCCGTCTGCAGGCTGCTGAGCGGTTTCGATTTGGGTTCTGCTCCGAGTCCCGGCCACGATGCTGGCGGCCTGTCCCTGGCCCTTGCTGATGTAGGAATCCCGAACAAGCTGGTCCAATCCCAATGCTGCGCTGCTGGCACATCAGCATATGCTCTCCATCAATCAACCCTTTTCAAGCTCGGTCATCAAACGAATCAGTGCACCAGCGGGCCCAGGGGGCGAACGGAGCGCAGGGTGCGGGTGCCGCTTCTATGAGCAAATTGGTACGGATACGGCATACATATGAAGATGAGAGACCGACTCCCCTTAGCTTTCCCCATGTGGACTGTCTAGATAACGAGATGCTTGGTTAGAGTGAGAGGCTAAAGGTTTCTAGTCTCGGTGGACTCGAAAGCAGACCTCACAGCTATCTGCAATCTGCTTCTTGGCCCTGTCACAATCACTTGCTTCTCTTCATTCGCAAAGGAATAGAGAACACAGTCCCTGATCAATTTGATGGACCACCCATACTTCGTACAGATACATGTGTACGGAGTACGGATACCTTGGATAGAGCTCCATTTACGGACAGTTTATCGCCAAGACTTTGTCCCTTAATCCCAGTGATCGACCGACTGCCGTATCTGGCTGGCATCTACCAATCATCTGCGCACCAGGTCGGCACGATCGCCATTGTCATTTTTGGGGAATATTCTAATTTTGTTACTTTTGTCGCTGCTGCCTGCTCCTTTACATTGCATTCGGAACACACTTGAATGGGGCACTTCGACACGAGCTATTTGACCAAACTGCACTTGCACCGGCCCTGGAGCTGGGGTACCGTACCACAGTAGGTAGTGAGCAGTCGCTACCTTACCTCAAGGTACCTAACCTCTTTACTCGATTACCCCGCAAAAAACAACCAGGTCACCACCATACTACGTACCGTTTCTCCAGTTCGAAGTTCATTTGCTAAGGTACTCCGTACCTTACTCCGTACCGCCCGTTGACGTCCTGCTGTTTGTCAGAGAGCTCACCGTTGCTCTCTTTCCTCCATACACCCACAGCCTTGCTCACCACCACACACACTCTCTCTCAGAGTAGCCCGCACACGCAGATACGCCTAGTGCGACAGACACAATACGACTGGGCTTTTTAAATCCCTCTCATCTCTGCAGAGTGCAGAGCGCAGCTGCCAGGCCAAGGCCCCCGAGTCACACACTGCCCCAACGTACAGAAAGCGGCAAGTTCCAGGAGCCGGTGAGTGTTCCACGAGTCCTTTCACTTTCCACGAGCTTCCCTTCCCGCCTAGTACCTTGCAACATGCACCGGCCCCTCTCCCCCAAATGTCACTGGGCCCCCGTCCGTCCAACGAACCGCCCAACGACTCCAAAGCACAGAGTCCAAAGTCCAAACACCTCGACCCTGCCCTGACCTGCCCGGCCAGACCAGACCAGAAAGCCCCTCATTCCCGATAATCCACGCATTCCACCATTCACCTTTTAGGCCAACTTTAACCCGCCATCGGTGACATCGGCCACCGCACCTCGCTCTCACCCGCCCGGCACACATCCCCGTACGCCGTGTCGCCTAACACCTTACATTCTTCAATTCACTCACTGCTGGCCCCTGCTGACTTATTTCGAGATCCGCCAAAATCTCGCACGGCTCCATCAACTCGAGTCGCCTGATACGATATCGCAATCTCCAGAATGGCTGCCGCTAGCGCAAACGCCAGCCTCGACTCCAACGCCCTGCTCGCCTTCTTCACCCAGATGGACGATCAGGGAGGTGTCATTGTCAGAGGTGCGTCTCCGTCATCCAAGCTGAGCCTCCTCACCTCCCTCACCTCGCTGTCTCTCCCTACACCGAAACGGACCTATCCGATCTGTCTCAAATAGGAAGTCAGTGCCAAGACGCGCGTCCTTGCTAACGGCCGCTGTCACTCTCCAGATACCCCAAA